CCGGCGCCGCTGGCGGAGTCCGAGGAGCCAGGCGAGGCCCGCGTGGGCGCTGCCCCTCCGGACCTGCCGGGCTACGGGGGACTCCGGGCGTTGTGTGAGTTGGGGGGCGGCTGGAGGCCAGACTGCAGCTGCGAGACCGGCTGTGCGCGACTCACGCAGCGGGCCTGGGCCGCGGGGGGCGGGAGGGGGCTCGGACTCTCGCTGCCGTCCCTGCGGCCCTCAGGCCCCATGTGCCTGCAGCAGAGCTGCCGGCCTGGCCTGGCAGCCTGGGTGCTGGCCGGCGGTGGGAAGGGAGCCCGCAGTCTGGGTGCTCTGAGGTCCTCCAGCCCCAGCCTCTAGACCCCAGCATGGCCTCTGGCCACAGACAGGCTTGCTGCCCGTCAGCCCGCAGTGGCGAGCTGGCCCCATCAAAAGTGGACAGTGCCTGGAGTCCTCTGAAGCCCAAATGAGCTCTCTGGAGACCACCGGTGGCCACCTCCTACTGCAGCGTGTGTGGGGTACCTTCACCACTGAGCCTGCCAGGCCTTGACCTGGGGACCCCCTTCCTGGGGCTGTGGCATCGCGGATGTCCTGGGCCAGCACTGCTCACAGGTGCCCCGGCCTTCCAGCCGCCTCCCCTCCTGCTGCCTGCTGCCCTTGTGGTCAGGTCCCAGGCAGGGGCACGCGGTTTCCCTGGAGGGTGGGGGGACGCCGAGCAGGAGGCTGACACGGACACGGCGCATCTGCACAGCTCAAGAAGGCAAGCTTGCGCGCCGGCGGTGGGGAGCGCGGCTGGGCGGGTGCGCCCCTCCCCCTGCTGGTCAGCGGGCTCCGCTCCGCGGGGGCCGCTGTCCTGAGCCATGAGCTGCCCAGACGGCCCCCCTGGGTGCCAGCCAGAGCGGTCTCGCCGGACGCTTCCTCCCCTCAGTTTCCCGCGCCGCCCTCAGCCCCACCTCCAGGGGAGCCCCACTCCGCCCCAGACATTCAAAGAAGAGGGGTGCCCAGCACGGGTAGAGCCCCTGGACCTGCCCAGCTCGCTGGCTCCTGCGTGACACTGGGCCTGCGGTGGCCTCCAGGGGCGTGAAAAGTGCGTGTGCACGCCCCCCACTTCGTGCGCGCCCGCCCCAGGCCCCGCCCCCC